GAATAGAGGACAGGTGTTGGCTCAGCATAATGAAAGACATCATAGAGGCTCACTACGACGGTCATCAAACGTCGGCAGGGGTGAATCCGAAAGGCAAGGATAATCTCAAATCATGGGGTCGAAGCAAGTCAACATGAATGGGCCAAACCCCGAGAAGACGTTGGATCTTAACAAATACAAAGGGCTGAATGCTAGCATGGGGAGCAATGCACCGAAGAGGCTAAAGTCGGTTAACATCAAAGCACCAGGGCGATCTAAGGAGGATCTTCGAAACCTCCTTGAGAAAAAGAAAAATGAGACTGAGGTAACCTCACCTCACAAGCCGAGGTCGCCATTCTCCACAGAGCTAGAGGCATTTGAAGCATCGAATATATTCAACATCCCAAAGTTCCACACGTATGACGATAAGTTTGATCTCATCATCCACATCAGACTCTATCTGAATGCGATATCGTTGTGGAGTGGAAACCATATGCTCCTGTGTAAAGTGTTCTCGGCAACACTAGGAGACATAGCCTCTGATTAGTTTTTGAAGTTACCAAAGGGGTTGGTGAAAAATTGAGATGGTTTAGCCGAGATGTTCGTAGCTCCATTAATCACCAACAGCATTTAGCCATTGAGGGTTAACTTTTTGCTTGCTTTGAAGATAGACGTTGGCAAAAGTCTAGGGCTTATACCAAGAGATATTACGAGTTTTATAACCAGATTCCGGAGTGCAAAGCCTAAGACAAACATTTAATGACCCTATGAAATTATGATATTTTCCTCTGTAATTATAAGGTACTATAATACACACCCCCAAATTTCCCACTAAAGTGATGTATGATCCTTTTCAATGTTGATGTATGATCTTTTGATGTAACATTCCATTAACTAAATTAATACATTCCTCTTTTTGCTGACAAAAAATATAGATATACAGTAAGCCTGATGTGTTGTATATTTATTCATTGAAGAGACATGATGCTTCCTTTGACATTGGATCAGTCAGTTTATTTATTTTTTTCAATTAAATAAGAAAGTCAGTTTATCATTTATCACATATTAAAAATCTACAAAAATAATAACTTACTTCCTAAAATAAGTAAAAAATTAGACAGTCTAAAAGCTTGCTTATTTGCTTATTTTAGTACCCAATATATATATATATATATATATCTAACTTGAGGTTAAAAGTTGTCTTATTTTTTTGGCTTATTTTTGTTTTGAGTATAATTTTTTTTTCTCTAAATACTTTAAATTTTAGGACTATTTAAACTAGATGAATTAAAAATGAATCAAAATTTTGAAAGTTTCCTAACGATTAAAAAATGGAAAATGTTTGAGGGCCACAATTTTTGTGGCCACAATGGCTCAAAACTGTCAAAACGACGTCGTTTTGGATGCAAAATATGCCAAAACGACGTCGTTTTAGCAGTTTTGAGCCATTGTAGCCACAAAAATTGTGGTCCTCTAGCATTGTTGTTAAAAAATACATTGAAAAGGAAAAGCCAACTCTGGAAGGTTACCAAAAAAATGAAAAAAACTAAAATAAATCCCAAATAACATAAACTATTCTAATATTATAAAGATTTAGGTCAAACATGGGCCAGGGATCTTTTGTCCCAACTTCTTGTCACAATTCTCTGACCCTTTAATTTTAAATGGATTTATTATATTTTATATTTTTAAATTATTGTTAAATTATCTATTTAATCTCTTAAACTATCGATTGAGAGTCTATCAAATACCTAAAGTATATAAATCAAAATCTATTTAATATCTAAATTATCAATTGAATCTGTTAAATACATAAAGTATTTAATTCAAACATATTTAGTCTTGAAAGTATTAGAGAAATAAAATATAAACTCATAAGTATTATAAATTAGTAACCCAAGAGATTGGCCTAGTAGGTGCAGCATGAAATTTGGGGATTTGCTTTCTCCAGATCTTAAATTCAATTCCCACTCGTAAAAAAATACTTTCTAGTTACGATTTTATTTCAAAAAGACCTTAAATTTTTATTCTCACTTTGAAAAGTGGGCATCAGCTCTTATGTTAGATTTCTTTTATAAAAGCAATGATAATTATTTATAATATTTTTTACTTTCTACCATGGTTAGATGCTTGTCTTTATCTAATATTATATGCTAGATTTTGTTTATAATTTCTTTTGATTGATTGTTTTTAAGTTTTTCACTAAGTTTTTTTTTTTATAACTTAATTAATGTATTATTTTATTATTTTATTATTTTTAGAAAAATTTTATTATTTAAATTATTTAATTCTACTTCTTCAATATATCTAATACTCGTATAATTTTATTAGCAATACTGAGAAACCAGATTCTAATACCAATTTAAACATAAAAGAAAATAAATCACTTTTTTGAAGATAAACTAAAAAATTTAAGATTTTTTTGTAATAAAATCTTAGTATATCTATTTTGGGATTGATTTCAATGATACAAACTGTTTACTTTGAACTCGTTGAGTGAAAAATTCATGTAAAAAAATTAAGATAATCAGATATTAATAACTATATGTTTGAATTACATTTGCATTATAAAAAATGAATGGTTATTTTTAAAGTTATTTTTGTCGCTTATTTTTTAAAAATAAATATGATTCAAATATATAGTTATCGATATTTAATCATTTTGATTTTTTACATGAATATTCTACTCAATAAGTCCTAAAAAGTGAACAGTTTGGATCATCAAAATCGGTCTCAAAATAGACTTACTAAAACTAAGAGCTTCTTTGGCTTTACCTACTATAACACAATTTTTTACCTTTTTATCTTTTTTGGGTCACAACACCTCTCTATTTTTCTGCACATATTTTTATAAAAAGTCAAAAATTATATTTGTTTAGATCATCCCAAATAACCTCTTTCAAATTAATATCACAATTTGAGTCAAAGCCATTTAGAAAAATGCCACTAAAGACCCAAAAAAAAAAATCATTAAAGAGGTAGTTTATTTCTAGGGTAAATTATAATTTAACCCCCTGTGGTTTACCTCAAAAACATGGAACTCCCTTGTAGTTTCATTTATAACACTTAAACCCCTAGACTTTATACCATGTTGTAATTTTTTACGGACGTAACAGAAGTGCACACCGCCTGATAAAAAATAAAAAGAAAAAAGAAAAAACAGGATGTGAAGAAAGAGAGAAAGAGATTGCAACCAGGGAGATTTCATTTTCTCTACAATCTCTCAAGAATAGAGTAGATTATATCACATCTTAACATATTCCGAGTTCTGTCCTCTCTCTCATGTGCTTGAGCTTTGCCTCTCTTTCATGGCCAAATCAGTCTTTATCTTTCTCTTGCTCTTTCTCTTTCTCTCAACAAACTCAGTTCTTTCTCAGCTCAACAATGGCTTTGTCTACAATAGCTTCAAGGGTTTTACCAACAACAACAACATAAGCCTAAACGATGTTGCAGAGATCCACGACAATGGTTTCCTCCAACTCACCAATGACACGCTTCGATTGATCAACCACGCCTTTTACCCAACTCGGATCCAATTCAAAAACTCCATAACTGCCAAAGCTCTCTCTTTTTCTACAGCCATCGCTTTCGCAATCATTCAAGAGTACGAAAAGCTCGGCGGCCATGGCTTGGCCTTCACAATTTCGCCCACCAAGGAGCTTCAAGGGGCTCTTTCGAGTCAGTATTTGGGTCTTCTCAATGCCAACAACACTGGAAATTCCTCAAAACCATTTGTTTGCATATAATTTGGTAGTTATTAGTGAATTTGATAGATAATGGATTAATTATTGAGCAACAATTAGTGACAACAAACAGAAAATTTTAGAAAATTTGATCTTTCTCGACATTTGCAGCCTCCAAAATGAAAACATTTGTTTCATTTTGGTGATTTTCTGTGAGTACCCACATGACCCATTTGTGTTTTCTTTTGCATTTGCGATAGTAGACATTGTTAGTGTTGTGAATTAATTGGAATCATTAGTGGATGTAGTTGTTTCTAGGTACATACATATATTTTGTTTGGGTCTGGAGGTATTTGCAGGTGAGGAGGCCATTAGAGGGAAAGGGAGAGTGTTTTCTCTCTCTCTCTCTCTCTCTCTCTCTCTCTCTTTGTTGTTTTTTCTTTTTTATTTTCTTTTATTTTTTGTTAGGCGGTGCACAAGTCATTTTGTGCACTGCTGTTACGTCCGTCAAAAATTACAATATGATATAAAGTTTAGAGGTTTAAGTGTTACAAATGAAACTATAAGTGAGTTTCGTATTTTTGGGACAAACCACAAGAGGTTAAATTATAATTTACCCTTATTTCTAATTTTTCAAAGGGAGAGACTCTGCTCCAGTTGGGTATCTCAAATGGAGGGTGTTGTTGGGTCTATATAGGCTCACCACAGAACCCACGTAGATAATTCGAACCGTTTGATCTGTAGAACTCGTTGAGTATTTCATCACTGTAAAAAATCATATTGATTAAGTATCGATAGCCACTTGATCAAATCATATTTGTATAAATAATTTATTTTAAAATTTATAATTATCGTTGACATAAATGTGATCTAATTAAGCAACTATCGATATCCGATTAAAATAATTTTTTACAAAGATGAAATGCTCAACAAAACTTGCATATTGCACAATTCAAATTATCAATCTGGATTTCACGATGAGCCCACGAACGCACAACAACACCCTCCATTTCGATTTGGACAGGGGAGAAGCCGTGGCGTTTCCGAAACAGCTATGGCCTTGTTTGGTAGGGTTTAGTTCCAGTTTATTTCAGCTTTTAATTTAATTTAAGCTATTTTGATGTGTTTGATTCAGCTTAACAATACAGCTTATAACTCTTTGTAAGTCAAAATCAACTTATTCTTTCAAAAATCAACTTATGTTCACAATTATAAATTATAAGCTGTTAAGTTATAAATTATAATCACTTTCTCACGACTCTACCAAACGGGCCTCATGTCTTGGTAACCATGGGTGACTAACAGATATTCCTAACCGGATAAAACCACAGTCATGTCTCATCCTATCTTTCCACACACACCCACTCTTTCAATTCCCAAAACCCTGTCAGCTTTCTCACCAGACCATATTCTTCACAGAACTTCACAAAAGAATGGCCTCAATCTCATCCATACTCTCTCCCAATCTTCTCCAACAACACCTCACAAAGCCCTTCGCAATCCCCCAACAACCCAATTCTAAACTCTCTCTCCACTCCCTCAAATCTCCTAACCCTACTCCAATTTCTCTTCGCTTCTCAATCTCACATTTGGGTTCCAACTCTAAACAACCCAAATGGGTCTCCGCTGTTGCTGAAGATACTTCGGTTTCGACACAAGACCCGTCGTCCGAGGTGGCACGGAGAGTTTACATCGGAAACATTCCTCGGACTGTCAACAACGATGAGCTCCGCCAGATTGTCGAAGAGCACGGTGCTGTCGAGAAGGCCGAGGTATCAATTCTGCTTAATTATGAATTTGTCTGTGATTGCATTAGTTTAGTACTGTAGAAGTGAGTTTTTTTTTATTTTTGTTAAATATCAAATGAGAATTAGGTTTTGTTAATTTTGATTATTTGTGGATGTAATATTAATCTATATAGAAAATAAAGATATATTTTATTATCGTGTCTCCACTGTGTTTGATAATAAATGTATCTTTAATTTTAATTGGGGATCCATGGAATAAATCAGTGTTTGAGCTTGCGCGCATATGGCTTTGCATTAGCAATTTGTAGAAAACTTGACAGTGGATCTTGTGTATAGGTGCAATTAGAGTGAGGATCATGTACCACTAGGTTAGACAAATAAAGTTGGGAAATAACCTCATTTAAAATGCCTAAGTTATGATCCTATCAAACTGAAGGAGTGTCTATTGGTTTTGACATGATCACAAGTTTGCATTGGACCAAAGCAGAAAGCAGAGGGCTCACCCTGATGCTGGGTAGACATGGAAAAGGGTTCACTTTTTTCTAAATAAAACAATTGGCTATTAGGCACACTAACTTCCTTTCTGGATTTTATCGATAGGTTATGTATGATAAGTACTCTGGAAGGAGCCGCCGATTTGCATTTGTTACGATGAAGACTGTTGAGGATGCAAATGCTGCTATTGAAAAGCTAAATGGCACAGTAAGACGGGATTATATGGTCATATTACTGGCTTTTAAAGATTAGAAATTCACTATGAATGGTTCTTTGTTTATATGAATGGTTTCACTTGAACAAATTGCTTAATTTGATCTTGTTTTCCACTACAGCAAATTGGAGGGCGAGAAATCAAAGCAAATATAACAGAAAAACCCTTACAAACTATGGATTTGCCATTTTTCCAGTCTGAAGAGTCTGAATTCATTGACAGCCCCCACAAAGTTTATGTCGGCAATCTTGCAAAAACAGTAACTACAGAGATGCTCAAAAACTTCTTTGCTGAGAAAGGGAAGGTTCTTAGTGCAAAGGTATCCCGAGTTCCAGGGACCTCAAAATCTAGTGGTTTTGGGTTTGTAACATTTTCTTCAGAAGAGGATGTCGAAGCTGTAATCTCATCCGTAAACAATGCTGTAAGTTTGCTACTCTTTTTGTTATGAAAACTTGGTTTTTTGTAACCACACAACCACAGGCCCGTGTGCTTCTGATAATTAGTTTCATGATGGGTACTTCCATTGGATGTATGCATACAATAAATAGAAGGAAAAAATAATAGATCATCTTCATTTTTTTAATTATTTTTTGTAGATGATTGTATTAACATCCCAATTATCTCTTTTTTTTTTTCCTTTTTTTTTTTTGGCAGCTGCTTGAAGGGCAGAAAATTCGTGTAAACAAGGCTTAATTAGCAGAAACTTGGTATTAATGTGGCATAGCATAGGTGGGAGAACTTGGGTTGGGGAGAATGGTTTGCACTGTAACTGTTGGATTGAGAATTGGATGTTCTTTTTGTAGAGTCAGGGAACAAGAATTACAATATTTAGAGAACATCAAACTGTTACCAAAAAGAAGGAAAAAAAGAAAAGGAACAGCCAAGTGTTGATGATTGTTTTGTTCGGAGCTTTCTGTTTCTTTGGTTACAATGATGAAGTTCATTGAAAAAGTTTAAAGTAGTTGAGTTCTTGCATTGTACTTCTTACGTAGTTTTGATCTCTCAAGCTTCATGTTTTTGTAAGGATCTCTTATTATTTGCCCTAGACACTTGACAGTTTTTGAGAGATTATGTGCACTGAACTATAAAGAAAATTGTGCAGTGAAGTTCAATTTACCTTTTTCAATCTTCTTACTTGTTGCTCTGAGTGAACTTGATCTTATGTATAAGCTTCACATCAAAGCATGGGCATCTGCAACTAAGAGGGAGCAGTAGATCGTTGATTGAAGAGCCAGGTCAGACGGATCAAATCCCCTCAAACCAATTCTTTGTAGAGAAGAGCAAGAATGGGTCACGGAGGACTGAGCTCATAATCCCGAAATCCATTAAGATTGACAACCTGGAGGGACTTCCTCACAGAGGAAAAACTTGGCCTTATAGAGTAGACGATTATTTGCCCAAGGTAATGAGTGGATGCATCAGTTCATATGATATTTTCATACCTCAAGGATTAATTCAAGGGATTTTGGAAAAAATACCTCAAAACTCCATAAGTATAGCACATTTATGTAACACTCTAGTCAATTTTTTATGAGAGACTCGTTAGTCAAAAAGATTTTTCTGAAAAATAAAATAAAAAGATATGTTGACATAACTTATTGAAATGAATATTTACCCTTTTTTTTTTTTTTGAGAAAAAATTGACATATAATAGAACATGAAACATAATACAACCAGTAGTGGTTAGCTCCGGGAGGCAATCTTAGCAGCTACATGTGCTGTTTCCACTGCCTTCCTAGGAGCCTTAGAAATACATACATAATCAAACTTGTTACAAAGAGCCCTAATATCTAATAACATATGCATTGTCTCCCAATCCCTCGTGTCGATCTTTCGAAGTTTCTGAAAAAGCACTTGGCAGTCCGTAAGGATGGAGATAGCCTTAACATGTTGTTGGACACACCATTGCAAAGCTTGAAAACATACTGTTACTTCAGACATTAATGCTTGAAAACATGCTGTCAAAGCTTCTGAATATTTACCTTTGTTGATCTACATGTGTTTATTATTTTGGGAAAGCGATTGAAAGTTGATTTTTTATTTTTTATTTTTTTGAAAAATGTGCAATAAAATAAAGTGACGATTTAACTTTAAAAAGTTAAGTAGTTAATGAACTGACTTTTAACTTTATTCCTAAAATAGGCCAAGCATTATTTTTGGTTACTCACTAAAAATGTTATCGGTGTCATTATGTCAAAAACGTAAAGTTTATTGTAGTGTAATTTAATTATCATTCTATGATAAAATTTAATGTTATTATATTAATGGATAATGCTACAATACATATCTTTTAAAAAAAAAGGTGTATCATATACAGGTTGTCATAATTAAATTAATGGATCGTAACCAAATACTTTTGAGGCATACCAAAGGTTTCATAATTAAAATTACAACTATAATATGACACAACTAAGTTATAATCAATACTAAAATGTGTTATAATTAAGGTCCAAGGATCATAAACAAACACCACTTGAAATATAATAAAAAACTATTTCAGTTACAACAAAAATAATAACTACGGTCATAATTAAGCTATAATCAACAATACAATAAGTCATAATCAAATCACAATTAACTCCACAATAATTATAACCAAATGCTACAAAAATTATAATTGGAGCCCTATGGTACACCGTTCATAAAAAAAAATATTCTCTCTTGCTTCTTTTTTTTTTTTTTAGACCAAACGTTTTATACAATTTAATACGTTAGTGGACTCAAACATTTTTTGAACATGTAAAACCCAAGGTATCATTTGGGTCTTTAAATTTAGGATAAATTACAGATATACTTATTGAGATTTGTTTAAAATATAGATTATTTTTTGTAATTTTGAAAATTAAATCTTGTTCCTTTAAGTTTCTAATTACATAATAAATTATCGGCCTCCTTTGGGAAATGGCTATTTTAGAGGCTTTTTGATTATTTTAATAGGCTATTTTAGTTTTTGTGTTTGGGAAGATGAGATGGATTTTTATTTGAGTTGTTGTATTGAAAAATGTGATGAAATGATGTTTGAAGTTAAATGACAATTTTGTCCCTAAAATTATAATTTTTTAAATTGATGTGAAGGGGCAAATAAGTAATTTCCCAAGTGATGTGTATGTTTGACACTTTGACAGTATAGGCTGGCCCTACACTGTCACGGCAGCAGAGGCTGTTTTTTTTTTTTTAATAAAGAAAGGTGAATAGTAGGGCTTTTGGGCTATTTTCTCAATTGAGGCTATAATAGCCTCCAATTCCTCTTCCCAAACAGCGCCATCATTTTCAGGAATGGATCCATGATTTTCATAGAAGAGGGTGAATATATATATACCAACAAAATTTTGAAAAGAAAAATATGAATTATAATATCAATTTTTATAATTGGTTCGGAAGTAGACTTCCGAATTTTTATTATTTTTTCGACATTTAACTTCCGAATGTGTTTATTTGATGTCTATAATAGTAATTTCACTTGAAAAAAAAATTATAATAAAAATAATTTTTATGAACTGTGTGCAAAGAGGGGAAGGTGGATGTGTAAATAGAAGAACATGTGAAACCCAAGGTATCATTTGGGTCTTTAAATTTAGGATAAATTACAAATATACTTTTTGAGATTTGTTTAACATATAGATTAATTTTTGTAATTTTGAAAATTAAATCTTGTTCCTTTAAGTTTCTAATTACATAATAAATTATCATTTTCAGGAATGGATCCATGATTTTCATAGAAGAGGGTGAATATATATACCAACAAAATTTTGAAAAGAAAATATGAATTATAATATCAATTTTTATAACGTCCCGAAATAAATAGCATTACCCATCTCATAACATTGCTACAATTGACCAACAATATCATATCTTCTATTCATTATATCTTTGATCATTACAAAAGATAGCATATGCGATATACATTCATAAATCATAAATCCTGAATCTATAGCATATGACTTGGATACATGATTTAAAATAAAAGTAAAACTAAATAATTGCATGCCCTAAGGGTTACAACTTTTCAAGTCGAAGCTTGGATACAACAAAATGAGTTCAACTCAATACAATTAAAGCTCAAGAATTATACAAAATTAATTACAACAAAGTAACAAAATGAAGCCCTTTGCTCCAAGTCCTCCCAAGCTACATCTTTGGTGTCAGCACTTAAAAGTTGTTTTCCACATTAGGTGAGCCAAAACCCAGTAGAGATACTCTAACATAACATATGAATCTTAGCAAAGTTATAAGGTGATTGCACATGCATGTGATTTGTCAAACATTCCTCGTTTTCCATCTCAAAATAATGCAATGCCTGATTATAAATCAATTCATGAAAAATAATCCTTTTACATAGAAAATAGGGTAGCAGATATAAAACACTGGGAATTTCTAGGTATGTGTCTGCCAGTAGGCTATATAAGCACTACCAAAGCCATTTTACTAGTACTAATTGAAAGGATCGACACATAATCGCTCAAGTTTATAGACTTTCACCAAGGACACACAGGTCAACATCATAATCACAACCACACTCCCTAACTAAATTCATCAAGGTATTTACCCATTTTTCTCAAAATCAATACATTTACATTGTTTATCAAGAAATGATGCTCAATGCACAATGTATGAGAAATTAGTTTTAATTTAACCTAATTCTCATGCAATGTTTACAACAATCAAGACTATTCTCCACTGATCACCCAAAACAGATATTTCTATTCAACAAATAGTTTTCAATCAAAAGATATAATTTCATCATTTACAATATGAGTGATATTACATATCCAACTCCACCATCATCATCAACATAAACATTGTTCCAATTTCACAAAATCCAACATCATTTTTCCGTTTCCTTTCACAAGTATCCAAAATTTAGAGCAAAACTTTCTTTTTTTACAAAACCAATTTTAAGAAAAGTTATCTATCATTTTGACATAACTCACCCATAACCATATACCTACAGTCATTTTCAAGAATCTATTTGGAAAACCCCCCTTTTGATTTCAATTTAAACCCTAGATTTTCCTGAAAATTCCCAAATCATCAACCTTTTTCAAAGAACAAATAACTAAGCCAAAAATCATATAAAAGAATCAAAGAAATCCCTCCCTTAAAGTAAAAGACAAAAGGAAACAAGGGATAGAACTTGACGGAGCCGAAAACACTAACTTCTTCGATTAGAACGAAACCCTCAACATGCTCTATCTTTTACTCCAAAGGGCGAGAGTTAGGAAACCAATGGATTGAGAGTATTAGGAGCTAGAAGAAAGAACTAAAGGAGAGAGAGAGAGAGAGAGAGAGAAGATCTAGATTTTTGAAATGTTTAGAGAGAGAGAAGTGAAAAAAGTGACCAAAAATAGCCTTCTCTCGGATTGATATATGCATAGACCGCTCGAGCGTAAGAATGGTCGTTCGAGCAATAGACACAATAAGTGACACCGCTCGAGCGAACAATGACCCCCTCCTAGAAGTTCAGACCTACAAAAGATCGCTCGAGCGCAAGAAATACCGCTTGAGCGAAGATATCAAACTCCCAGTAGTTTTGCAGACTGTAAAAGACTGCTCGAGCGCAAGAATGGTCACTCGAGCGAACAAGCAAAATTCTGGGCAACAACTACTTAAAAAACTAACTTCCCAACTTGTTTCAAACACAACCAAAACTGTCAATAACTAAACTCAATGAGCAACGAGATGGAAATGAGATGAACAACAGCTAAGTACATTTGTTCTCAGATCCAAAAGTAAGAAATGGATCGGGTCTAAACTAGAATCGTTATAATTTCTACTAGCATAAAAAGTAAAACAAGATGAAAATATATAAGTAGCATGTTTTTTTAGACGTAGTTACAAAAAATAGCTACTATAAAATTATATATATATATTAAAGTGAGCCATCTTGAATTATTGTACTCGACATTAGTTTATGTCACTCAAAATGTTTATAACAGAATCGATATTAAAATCTCGTACAATACCTTTCTCAATAAACTTGATTAAGGAATTAGTTAATACCTTATTCGATTCTTTTGAATCTTAGACTTGTAATTAATAGTAGTTATAATTTTTTTTTTTTGTTGTTATTTTTGTCTATTTTTTTAATATTATATTTTGATCCTATGTTTCATATATATAGGGTAACAACCATTTAAAATTTTCTAAAAAAAATAAAAACTTAGGGGACGAATTTCTACAATATGTAAATAATTGTAGCTAATATTACGATAATAAAATGGTTTTTTTGAAATCGTAGGGGGTGATGGGCCCCCTCTTGCCCCCCTTTGGGTCCATCCTTAATCATTTTTATCAATAAATCATCTACTCAATTAACTGTTTTCAATTAATAATTCCATTACTTTTATTGTTGTATAAGAGAATGTTTAAGATTTTACTTTTTCTATTAATTTTGTTAAATAAAAAAATCAGATAAGGGATTATTCATAATTTTAAAAATTCTAGTAGGTTTTGAAAGATAATTCTGTTAAATAAAAAATTCAGAGAAGAGATTATTCATAATTTTCAAAATTCTGATAAGTTTTGAAAAAGAATTTTGTGAAAAGAATTTTGAAAATTCAAAATATGTTTGGTTTTGAGTTTTCGAAGCATTTTTTAGTTGTTTATTTTGAAAATAATTTTTTAAAATTTAAAAATTCAAAACTTGTTTGGTTATGAGCTTTCAAAACTAGTTTTTGAATTTTTTTTTAGGTCTTGTGTTTTGTTGTTTTGTAATCAAAACTTTTTTTGCAATATTATAGTGAAATTTGTGTCCTTTCATATACCTAATCTAAATTTACTTTTTCAATGCATCTAATCTAATCTATAGGGCAAAGTTTCATTTCGTATTTTTTATTTTTTATGAATGTTTTAAAAAATTTAACATTTCTTTTCTAGTTTTATATCAACTCAATCTATTGGCATTTAAAACATTTCACATTTAAATGTAACTTTTTATAAAATTATTGAATAATGAGAAACATACACACAAAAAAAGAAAAAAGAAAAAAAATCGACCCAGTTTAAAAATTAATACAATTTTAATGTTTTATATATTTATTAAATTTATTTTTGAATTCTTCACATTTTGTTTTACTATTTAAGTCTAAAGTAGATGATAAACATCTAAAATATAAAAAATTATTGGGCCAATACTTGAAAACCAAACAAAATCAATTTTGTGAAAATCCTAAACCAAACTGGCTTTAGGTTTTGAGTTTTGAAAACTTCATTTAAAAATTCCAAATGCACCTTTTGTATTTTAAGCAAATCTGAGAAGGCGTATATGTAATTTACCTTTAAATTTATTGGGCAAATTATTTGAAAGTCCTATTTAAAAGAGGAGAAGTCTATTTAGTTCCACAATCTTTTGGATACTCTCAAAAGTCTACTATATTTTTCTTCTACATTCTTCTCTATGCATTCGTTCTTTTCAACATCTTTTTCTTTATGATTTTCGGCGATCGACGATCATACCTTGCTTCTTTACTTTCTCTTTCTCTTTCTCTTTCTAATATATATAATATAATCACTGGCGACCGACGATCATCATTGATTGGGGTTCACCGGCAACTACTGACTCCTTACTTCACTTTTACCGACGATGAAGAAGACAAGTTTCCGACAAAGAAGATTTGAGTAGATCTACTCAGATCTACATCAGATTTGAGTAGATCTATATTAGATTCGATTAGATTTAAATAAAAAATAGTTACCGGAGCACAATCTTCTCTCTATATCTGTTTCTCTCATTCGAATAGAAAAAATTTTCAAATTCTAAACAAGTTGTTTTCGAATTTTAGTTATAGGTGGTGAAAATTGTAAAATTTTACATTTTTAATTTTTTTTAGTGCTAAAATGAATCATACTTTAAAATTATAAAATTTTACAATTTCATAACATGTTTTCTAGTTTGATTAATAACGATAAATGCTCAATAGATTCATGCTTTGAAATAATAACATTTTACAATTTCAAAGCCTGCTTTTTAATTTGATCAACATTAGAGATTATTTACTGAAACCATACAAAAATTGGAAAATAATGTATATTTTTTTCCCATTGCTGTTTATTTATTTATTTATTTTTCCTTTTCATTTTATCAATATTTAACACATTTTGTTATGTTTTTTTTACTATAATTTGTCCATTTATTTTTTTTCCCAGCAATATTCTGGAAATTCAAGTGAGTCTCCGACAATGTTTTTGACATCCAGCGAACATTGTAGACATTTTGACAACTTCCAGTGACGTTCAGAACACTCCGGTGATACTCCGACAACTTCCTGGTAATGTTGAACATTCCGGCGAATCTCTGATGACTGTCTGACGGAAGTCTGACGATGATGGGATATAACAACGTTTTTAAATTTATAAAAAAAAAAAGAAAAGATTTTTTAATAATAATTAAAAATAGGTAAAATTACCTGGCGTAAATATTTTGTTTTTAAATTAAATAGGTTTGAACTTTATGTATGTTACTTCTCGGTAAGTGCCCCAAATTTATTTTGCTCTTTGATTGTTTGATTTGATAGTTCAAATGGTAAATGATTGAACTGGAATTATCATATTGTAGATCAAATTCCAATTGGAAGAGATCCGTACATTGCCATTACTTTTGATGAGGTAACTTGATTACCTGAGTCATTTAATTTTTGAATTGGGAGGTATCTGAGTTGCAGTATCACATAACAAAGATGTCTGTTGTTGTAGGGCATTTTGAGGGATTCAATTGGTTTGAAAGATGCTTCTGTATCAGGAGCCAGTCCAATGAAGGAAGAGTATGTTTTTGATAAAAGGAAATAAAAGTCTCATTCTTTTTCCTGTCTCTTGATGAATTAATGAGTTCCTTTCTTTTGTTAATTGCAGTCCTCGTCCTTCACTTCCAGTGGACCCAACTGTAGGTTTTCAAGATCCTGGTCCAGAAGAGACTGAAATGCTCAATGAAGATAGTTTTCCTCAAAATGTCCCAGAAATTGAAGTTATGCGTGATGCCGCCCATGATTTTCATGCGGATAACATTTCACCTTGGCCAGATCAAGGGAATGATGTACTTGAACCGGACAGGCTTTTGGAGCAGCAAATCATAAATGAGAAGGAAATCCTTCCACCAGCTGCGGAAGAAATATTAGTCTCTGGAGGGCAGTCTCTCCCATCTCAGCAACATGGAGAACCAGTTAGTTCTGCTTCTTCAGACAAAGCTCCTGACGTTTTTGATTCACATGTTTCATTTGGTAGGTGTGAATTTCTCATTATTGGATGCAGCCTAAAATTGAACTTGCTTTATATTTGGGTATACTTTCTTTCTTGTGTGGCAGGGCATGCATCGCCTGAACTGGCAATGCGTTCAACGCCACCTGTTGGCCAGCCAAAAGCTAGACCAAGAAAGAGAAAGCAGCTCTATGATGAGTCCACAGTATTGACTAATAAGTATGAATTTTGAGGCTGTTCATTTGGGTTTTTTTTATTATTTATTATTGTAATACTTTTAAAAAACTGTTTTTCAACAAGGATATGGATATGTCAGGTTTATGAAGGCAGCACTTGATAATTGTAGTGACCTACTGCGGAAGAGGAAATGTTGCCCTTCTTCTGCTTTGGATGTTTGGAAGTCAAATAATAGATTAAGAAAAGAAAAAATCTTTCTTGAGCCACTAATGACTGGTGAGTGGGTTTCTTCATTTACTGTTATGCCTCAATTGCTTTTGCCTCTTGATCGAAGGAATTGATTTTATGAGAGAATGGGTGCCCATATATCTGCAGGGTTGTGCGCAGATCTATGTAACGTTTATACAAGGGATTTCATTACTGTGAAACCTCATTTGGTTAACATGGAAGAAGCTTGTCCAGAGCCTATTGTTGCAGAGTCTCCTCCCATGCATGACCTTGATACAGAAATTGAATGCCTTCGAAATTATGAAGGCCCCGATTGTAGTAACATTTTACCTGAAATCATGGGTTCTCCTAATAGATTCATGGCTCTAGCAATCTGCTGCTTATTTTCTTAATGTACTCTAGTTCTGTTCTCATTCTTCCTCTAAACCTATGTGTTTAGCTTGCGTAAAATCATACATCAATGGCGTGAAATGGTCTTGTTTGATAATTGTTTTTTTCCCCCTGAATGTTTCTTCTAGAGCGCATCATGTATCCCGAAGTTCCCATTGCACTAAGAATGTCAGGTCATCTTCTACTGGGTGTTGTTCGGATATATTCAAAGAAAGTCGACTATCTGTACCAAGACTACAATTTTTTTCTGATAACCATAAGAAAAGCATTTGCTCCTGTAGAAGTTAATCTACCAGAAGATGCAACTCATGCACCTTTTGACTCTGTCACTTTGCCAAAACGTTCAAACTTGATGCCTTCAATTTGGATGATGACTTCTCTTATGACGGGTAATTTTCTGGCTACGTATTGCACTTCCGCCTTTCTTTGAATCTATAGATAACACTCGATTTTTAATTCTCAGGGCTCAAGATAATCATCTCCGGAGCGAGGAGGAGATAACACTTACATGTGGTAGGATTTCACTTTTGAATTCATATTTTGTAAATTATTGCACTCTAGTTTATGATTTCTCAGTTCAATAACACTTACTGGTGGTAGCATTACATGTGCTTCCGAGTATTCATAGTTTGATTTGATAGTTCAAATGGTAAATGATTGAACTGGAATTATCATATTGTAGATCAAATTCCAATTGGAAGAGATCCGTACATTGCCATTACTTTTGATGAGGTAACTTGATTACCTGAGTCATTTAATTTTTGAATTGGGAGGTATCTGAGTTGCAGTATCACATAACAAAGATGTCTGTTGTTGTAGGGCATTTTGAGGGATTCAATTGGTTTGAAAGATGCTTCTGTATCAGGAGCCAGTCCAATGAAGGAAGAGTATGTTTTTGATAAAAGGAAATAAAAGTCTCATTCTTTTTCCTGTCTCTTGATGAATTAATGAGTTTCTTTCTTTTGTTAATTGCAGTCCTCGTCCTTCACTTCCAGTGGACCCAACTGTAGGTTTTCAAGATCCTGGTCCAGAAGAGACTGAAATGCTCAATGAAGATAGTTTTCCTCAAAATATCCCAGAAATTGAAGTTATGCGTGATGCCGCCCACGATTTTCATGCAGATAACATTTCACTTTGGCCAGATCAAGGGAATGATGTACTTGAACCGGACAGGCTTTTGGAGCAGCAAATCATAAATGAGAAGGAAATCCTTCCACCAGCTGCGGAAGAAATATTAGTCTCTGGAGGACAGTCTCTCCCATCTCAGCAACATGGAGAACCAGTTAGTTCTGCTTCTTCAGACAAAGCTCCTGACGTTTTTGATTCACATGTTTCATTTGGTAGGTGTGAATTTCTCATTATTGGATGCAGCCTAAAATTGAACTTGCTTTATATTTGGGTATACTTTCTTTCTTGTGTGGCAGGGCATGCATCACCTGAACTGGCAATGCGTTCAACGCCACCTGTTGGCCAGCCAAAAGCTAGACCAAGAAAGAGAAAGCAGCTCTATGATGAGTCCACAGTATTGACTAATAAGTATGAATTTTGAGGCTGTTCATTTGGGTTTTTTTTATTATTTATTATTGTAATACTTTTAAAAAACTGTTTTTCAACAAGGATATGGATATGTCAGGTTTATGAAGGCAGCACTTGATAATTGTAGTGATCTACTGCGGAAGAGGAAATGTTGCCCTTCTTCTGCTTTGGATGTTTGGAAGTCAAATAATAGATTAAGAAAAGAAAAAATCTTTCTCGAGCCACTAATGACTGGTGAGTGGGTTTCTTCATTTACTGTTATGCCTCAATTGCTTTTGCCTCTTGATCGAAGGAATTGATTTTATGAGAGAATGGGTGCCCATATATCTGCAGGGTTGTGCGCAGATCTATGTAACCTTTATACAAGGGATTTCATTACTGTGAAACCTCATTTAGTTAACGTGGAAGAAGCTTGTCCAGAGCCTACTGTTGCAGAGTCTCCTCCCATGCATGACCTTGATATGGAAATTGAATGCCTTCGAAATTATGAAGGCCCCGATGGTAGTAACATTTTACCTGAAATCATGGGTTCTCCTAATAGATTCATGGCTTCTGAGACCAGATTCACGTCTTCTCCATATAGAAGAGATGACTTCACTCCTGCTTCAGCTGGCAACTTAGGCTCACAATCAGAACCTCAACTGGGAACAACTGTTGGGACTGGAGTGCAACCCACACCGGACTTGGCAGCATCTACTGGAACTCTTGGGTCTGAGTCGGAAACACCGATGACATTTTTAGGGGAGCGTCTAGGATTTGAAAACACTGGTCTTTCGGATATTCCTGAAGTGATGAATTCCGCAGAAGCAGATGTAAGTTCATTCTGTTTAAATCATTTCTGTGCCTTGAGTGGTTATTATTGTCGGAGGTATATGTGTTTTGTCTTTAATGATCCATCATGTTTTCCTTTCTTGTAAATAGTTACTTTGGAATATCATTAACAATAGGTTCATTTTGTGGTTCTGAAATATGGTAGATGCTTCTTGATGACCTCTCAGGGCATTACTTAAAGAAAACAATTCAGCAGGGATCAACTTGAGACTTGTGCCTACAAATGTGACATATACATGAACTGCATGCCATACACTTTATGGTCCTGTTTTGTTGCTTATGTGTTATATAACCATCAATTTACTTAATGAATGTCATATAAAGAATTGCCACTACTGTAACTTTTGACTTTTCTTTTATGCACATGTACATATATTCACTCTAAACCTTTTGGAGCGAGTTTCATTTAAGATTCAACACAATAAGTTGGACCTTGTAGTTCAATTAAAAAGTGTAGACTCTACATAAGTGATATTCAAGGCTTTAAAAAGCGGCCGCAACCATTACGTAACGCCGTTACGTAACGGTTTTGGCGGTTACCACCACCCGTTATAGCCGCTATTGCAGTGTGATTAAGATTCACAAGTGTGTCGGCTGTAGCGGCTGCCGTAGCGGTCGTAACGGTGCCGTAACAGACTGTTATGTAACGGTTCCAAATTGTTTCTTTCGAAAAAACACAAAAAAACTGAAAATAGGGAAAGAGGGATAGAGAGAAGAGGGAAGAGGGAAGATAAAGAGAGAGAATGGAGAAGCAAGAGATAGAGAGAGAGAACAGGAAAGATGAAGAACATGTTATTGATTTGTTGAACTGAAGCTGTAAGGCCTATGCTATTCTATTCAGCTGCTATTACTCAACCATTTTGTTTGTGTGTGTCTATCTGTATATTGTTTGAAAATAATAATAATACTAAGTGTGGTCATTATCTATTTGACTTGGTTAAAATATGTATATATATATATATATATTTAGGCTCTTATTTATTCTCTTATTTTTGTCATTGTTTATCTTATACATAATAGTTAGTGATTGATTTTTTGTATAAAATAAAGTCATTAATTATTAAAATAAAATGTAAAAAATTTAGTTTATAGTGATTTAAAAATATTAAATATATTGGATCATACTTAAAAATTTACAAAAATTGATCAATATTTATTTGTAACCTAATAAATATGATCATGGAAAAAAAATATGCGTATCGGTAAGTTTTTTTCAAATTGTGCGAAAAATAAAAAAATTCACGATTCCGGTTACCGCAATCGTTACGCTACGGCCTTTACACCCTGCAACCGCAACTGCGCCACTGCCACCGTTACGGCGACCGCAACCGCTTTTTAGAACCTTGGTGATGTTGTTAAACTGTTTGATAATGATCCTCACTTTTAGTTGATTTCATAGTGCATGAAATGATGCAATGCATTAAATTCTTTTATGCACATGTATTTGTACACATGGCTTCACTTAAAACCTCATCTTTTGAATGATTGAGTTGAGAGCACTTATTGGAGGTTGCATCTCACTCACTGTCTCATTTCATTGCAGGACCTAAGTTTTTTAGCCTCTGAAGATTATACGCCAACCAGTAAGTGAAGAAACCTTTTGTAGATTTTTTTGATTATCAATATGAATGATTTTGTGACAAGACACAAATGATAGTAGACATTCCACTGTTATTTACGTTTGATATCAAATCTTCGTATGACCTATTCATTCTTTTAACAGAAATCCAAACAACTCAAGGAGTTGACGTATTGTCGGGGACAACAAGGTAGCTTCTTGCAAGATATCCCATTAGTACTAAATGAGCTTCACTGTTTTAAGTAGCTTCTCGCAAGATATCCCATTTGTGTGACTTACTTACAGGAAAGTGGCTCAATATTTAAAAGGAAAGTCTTCAGTTACCCCTATCTCAGAAGACATATCTGGGGATCTAATCTTGAACAAGCTCGTAGAAGGAAAAATCAGAAAAGTATGTGCTCGAATGTTCTATGAGACTCTGGTGAGCTCCTGAACCTTCCATCCAACTGTGGGGTTTATTAGTGTTTTTTTTTAATTTTTTTTCAGTATTTGGTTAGTTTGTGATTGTGTCATCATTTTTATATTGTTGGTATGCAAATGGTTGAAAATATATGCATGATTTGAGATGAATATCATGGGAATGACCAATTTATATTCTGCAGTTTCTGTGGTTATTCTTGTATAGATTAACATGGTTATTTGGCACAGTATCTACCACCATGCATGTTGGATTGAGTTTGTGCTTAAAGGCTCTAACTGGATCAGCCTTCCCCTCAAATTTCTACCAAGATAACTGGAAGTTCCAACCAATAAAATGAAACTTCAGTGGTAACTGGGATTAGTATGATATATTTGGTTTTTTGAAATAAAATGGAATGAAATGATCATTCTATTATAATGTTGATTCACACATTTGGTTTGCCAAGCCTGTGTATGGATCATGGATTTGAGTAAGGATTTGGAAAGGAAAGAAATTTACAATGAAATGAAGAAAAAAATGACCTTATATTTCATTAACATTTCCTTCGCCTTTTTCTTTCCCTTTTCAAATTCATGATTCAAACACAATCTAAAAAAATATTACAAAAATGATGAAATTTGTATGACAAATGAAAT